ATTGTATGTTGTTGTATGTAGGGACATTTTAAATAACAAGTATCATCCAAATGATGATTTATTTTTAACATCTCATGTAAAAGAGCTTAGATGTGACGCTTTATTCTATCCGTCCAAGATTTTCCTCTACCTTCTTGTCTTTCCTCTCCATCCTTTCTAAATTGTTGTCCTCTACCCTTTCATTTTCATCTATTCCTTGTCTTCCTCATTTTCCTCTTCCTCCGCGTTGTTTTTCCTCTTTTCTATAGAACAAATTGAGAAAATGTTCACAGGTTGATTACCTCGAATCTTCCAGATGTTGATATGCTTTGATACTTGACTGTTTTTTGAGCAAAGACTGAGATGGCAAAATGCAAATTGAGTTTTTTTGCAGAAGCAAAATCTATGAAAAATGAGACCTTATGGTTTTCTAGAAGTCTGTTGTCATAAGAAAGCATTCTCTTCATGTGTTCACACTTGTCAAGAATGTAACTAAGGTTTTTATACAAACAGTGCTAAGTCTTTACGAGTTTTGAAAAAGTGTGTATCACAGTGGTTGAATAAAGTGCAGATTCGAGGGAAGTTTAGTAACAGTACAGTTCAGAAAATGAGTCCTATTTGTTAGATTGCACAAGGTCCCTACATGAAAACTGGGCCTCAACAGAAATAATAGTAGAAAATAATTTATTTCAATCTTGGTCTATGTGATACAGTGATTGATTTGACCGGATTGAAATATTTATTTTGAATATGTAAAGACAAGTACCAATTAAACAAAGAATTAATATTTCATATATATAAATATACACTTATATACATATAAATCCATACACATACATATTAAACAAAATCATATGACAAAAGAAATATTCCACAATTCTGGACTAGGTCTACATATGACATACAGTTTCTGTTTATACATATAAGAGACAATGAATATATATATGTGTGTGTATACACTCACACACATATATATATGTGCCAGTGTTTCCTCTGCATTCATTTAGCAATGGCAGACCGCCATTCCTAAATCCTCGCCGCTGCTCCTTCAAATTGCTTTTTTTTTATTATTGTATTTACATGATATACCATCATGTAAACCAATAATAGTTATTGCCCAAATAATAGTCTGTACCTAAAGTAGACTTAGACAGCGTACTGTAGGAGAAGAACTGCTGTTCATGTGTGAAAAACTGGAAAACAGGATTTGAGTATAGTTCTGTGAATTTATGGCGTTTCCCTTCAGTACCTACCTTCAAACTACCTGTTTTGCTTGAATCTTGAATCAGTAAACCACGGAGGATGAGCTGGAAGTTTTACAAATCAGTGTCTGTGAAACAAGTTGAAAACTCCACATTTATGTAATGACATTAAAGATACGGACGTTAACAGAAGGTCAGCAAACACAAATGCAAACTGTGTTGGATTATGGAAACTGACTCTGCAGAATGTTTTTTTCTTTTTTTTTTGTTGTAGAGATAGGCGGCGAACAATGAGCTGATCAGGATAAGCTTATCAGCCAACCTGGTGAATGTGTTACTCATCTTTAATGCTTTACTGATCCTCGATGCTTATTTATTTACATTTACGTGTTTAATGTCACTGAAGCAATTTTAAGCATGTTTAATTTCTCCTCTTCTTTCTGCAGGTAGTGAAGCTGAGGATAAAACTGTACGACTCCTCTGTGGATCCCAACGATCCTGCTGTGAAAGCAGACCTCCTGAAAAAGACAAGTCTCCAAACTCCATCCTGTAACATCCGGCACATTTTAGTGATTTCATGTGTGGACACAGTGATCACAGACCAAATGTAAGCTCGCTTCCAAGAAATGACATAGATGTCAGTTTGAATGGATGTTGAAACAGTGGCTGCCATGTTTGTCTCTCTGCTCCAGGACAGACTGAAGGAGTGAGTGGAGTCAATGTGAAGTGGAGAGAGGAGCCTGATGGGAAAGTCTGCCACAAAGAGGATCCATCAGTAACCCCACCTGCATGTTAGCTGAGCTTTTCAAATAACTTAAGTGTGGCAGCGCTATATTATGTTTGAATCTCTAATACGAGTGCCTTTGAGAAGAGAGTGTGACATTTCATGTAGGCTGGCAGCTCGTTCCTTTAGTTATTGTGAACTCTTGCAAGCCACTAGTTTGTGTGTGTTGGTTTAATTCTACTGGAAATCACAGCAGAGACAACTTTGCATTTTAACAATACAATCCAGCATATTGACTGTCTCCACCTTCACCAGTCTACTTTTTGTTCTATGATGACGTGTCTGAGGACATGTGTTCTGTGCTGTTTTCATTCTGAGATAAGTCATAAATAGAAGCATACTACTTGTTGTTATTCTTAAATAAGTGATGGAGGTGACTGATGTTTTTTCCTTCCTGTGGCTGTGCTCACCAAGTCTTACTGTGAGTTTGTTGCTTTGGCCACAAGCAATACAGCGATGCAAAAAATCCTCCTGCAGTCCAAAAGTTATTTCTGTGCTGCAGACCACTCTAACTGAAGAGATCTAAAGGTGCAAACAAGGCCAATTACTGATCTTTGTCTTCAGATTTTTTTTTTCTTACACTTAAGGGTTGTGTGATTGTAAAACGTAGCCAGGGCCGAGAAAAGGGACAACATGATAATGTGTATTGTGTCATTGTGGGCCAAGTGTGACTGAGCACAGTCAACAGGAGAAACACTGAAGCACATGTGCAGAAGCAAACCAAAAGCCATTACTATTGGATCATCTTCGTCGCGGTCTGCAGACTTGTCCACAGGATCCATCAATTTCTCGCTTCCCATTCATTCTACTTTATGCTAATTTGGGGCAGAGGACCGACGTCTGGCGTAGCTTTAGTAAAACGGCTAAGCTAGCTGTTGTTGAAGTAGAATGAGGACAGATTCAGCAACTGCATAGTTTATTTCTGGCCTTAAATGTTTTTAGAACTACTTTTCACTGAATGGTTTTCGGAATTAAAGCGGTTTGTGGTTGAGCCGCCATGTTGGTTCTCCGCCTTTACAGACTGGTGAATGGAAAAGCAGCTAGATCGGCGTATACGACACCGTGTTCCAGTTCCTGCCAATATTCAGCAACTTCACACAGCTATTGAGGAGGAGTGGACCAGCATTCCACAGGCCACAATCAACAACCTGATCAGCTTTATGCGAAGGTGACTTGTTGCACTGTCAGGCAAATGGTGGTCACACCAGAAACTGGTTTGAATGAGCTTATTTCCAAAGCTGCTATGTAAACAATGCTATGAAAAAGTATGAAAAACTACTGAAGAAAATCTAATTGGAGCAGTTTAATTTATTAAAAGTTTATCAGCTTAAAGATTTGTGCCCATAATAATTCATGTGGGGTCATTTAAAAATTCAGAAAAAACTAGTTGAAACGACTTCATTTTTCAATTGAGTGATGAACTTGTATTTATGCTACATGGAAATATACGAAAATTTAAAAAGAAACTTTGATTATAGAGGAAAAGCTAATTCCCCTATCTCAACACAGTGTGTTGCTTGAACATAATTTTTAATAGCAGTTGTCTTAAAAATGGTACAAATTGTTGCTTGGATTCTTTTTTGTTGAAATCAAACATTTTTGTGTGTGTGTCACTGTGTAGGTCAAGATCATTAAATAATAATTCTGTTCTATTCACAAGTTCCTCGCTGTCAGTGTTCATATTTCTGTAGGTTCTCCATTTAGGATTTAAAAATATCTATCAGTAATGTAAAACAGAAAACACTAGCTTGGAGCCAAAATGTCTAAAAGCATCGCTTCCTATAAATTGGGGACTTTTTGGAAATGTAAAAACCAGCAAAAGTCGTATCGCAGACAAATGAACTGGTGGTGGTAGAAGGAGCCATACCATCGCACCAGATTGAATTTGTCTGGATCAAGAGTCTGCAGTTTCCTGAAAACGACAGTCTGTGGAAGAGATATAAAGCTTAGATGTGCACTTTTTTCTGTCACCTACAAGACAAACTGCATGATTCAGGAAGGTTTTAGGTTTAAACGTCCTATTTTCACATTCAGATCCCAGTTTTGGTGCGAAAAAATAGACAGTTTGCACTGTACCTCTCTCAGAGCTGCTTTAATGGGGACAGGCTGGTTTTTGATAATCTTGATGGCCGAGGTGGACTTGTTGTGGATGTCCACACACCTGGCCACCATTGCAAAACCACCCTGCCCTAGAAAAGACTGAACCTCATAGCGGGAGGCCAGCAGGGTTCCAGTTTGTGCAGGCAACTCGTCTTCAGGGGACAAGGAGGCCAGAGAGGAAGAGATGGACACAACATGTAATTACAAAGAGCTTTTACACTCGATACCACAAACACTGGTGTTCAAAGAGAGTGCATCAACACTTCAGCCGTTGTCGTCCAAATACTCAGAGCACATGAGAATATTTCCTACAGATTGAATCAGATGAGATTAACATGTTCAGGTGATGATGTGATTTTGCAGCTTTAAGCTACATAATCACACTCTGCAAGAGATGCAGCTTTTGTATGCATTTCTGTTTTGGTGGCTTTTTATTAATGTAATGGAAAAATGCTTAGAGTTGGAATTTTTCCCACTGGATATTCAGCAAATAATAATTTCAGTTACTTCTCATTTACAGCAACAGCCTCAGAGCTCTATTCTGTCAGATTACATTTTACATTTTTCAAAAATAACTCTTGAAGATGTGATAGTTTTGTCTGAAACTTACAAAATGTAAACTTAGTTTGAACAAGAAAAATGCAAGGTGTATCTTTTTCTTTAAATGTCCAATCATTTTTTCATAACTACATAACTTCAGATGCGTTTTAAACCTAATTTAAGAGTTTTCTGCATCCTGTTTAGAATTTCTGACTGTTTTGCTGCTCTCAGCTTACCTGACATGTTTGTCTTAATGCGACAGAAGTTTTTCAATAACAACGCAAAGCAATTGTTAAAAAACTGAACATTAACAGCGACAGAAAAGTGTCCGTGTGTTGTTTCAGGTGATGTGATCTGAAGTACTGAAGTATTCTCATGTCTCTCAGTGATTCTAGAACATCACTTTGTTCTATTTCATTGTTACCAGCAATGTAGCGAGTACATGAGTAAAATCATGCATTTAGATGTATACCTCATAAAAGTACAAAAGTATAAATCATAAATACTGAAAGAACTAAAAGTAAATACAGAATTGTTGATGCCTGCATGCATCTGTTTGTGTCGGTGGGGGCCAGATCCTCAGTGTGGCCTCATATGATATTCAGATAAGATTAATTTCAAAGAAGTGTAGCACTAACAGCCTGTATGACATGATATTAATAACTTGGACAGAATTCTGTTTTAATTAGTTTTCTTTTTTTTTAAAGTAAATTCTGTTAAAAACATCCTATACACTTCTACAAAGTATATTGTTATGACAGTAATGGGCTACATGATTAGCATGCTTTTAAACCCTTCCCTTCTAATGTCATCACTTTTGCGGTCTTATTTTTTGGTAAATCTGAATTATTTTTTATTTCACTTTGTGCTAGGAACTTTAGATATTTAATATCAAAAGAACTACACAGAAAGACATGATACAAACAGTCAAATCATAACATAGGTTAGTAATTCTATCATGATGCTGCAAACATAGCTTTTCTTTTGATTACGTTAGGAACATTATGGGTGCTCACTATGGGTGATAAATGCAAAGGCCGGGTTTTTTTTGAATACCTGTGCAGGAAAGAATTTAGGTCACTGAACCAACCTAAATACTATTTATTTGAAGATTCACTTATCATGTTGACAAGTGCAGTAATTTAATAATGACGACCAGGCATTCTACTTTAGAGAAGTGAAAATGGTTTATTGCTAAAAGACTGTGTGAAGATCTTGCTGCTGTAATTTGAAATATAAAGGTAGTCAATCAGTGACCTGGTAGGTCTATGACAGTGCTCTGTAGTTCTGGATACACCTGGATCTTCAGGATTATGGCTTGCACAGCACTGTTGGTGAGCTCCTGGTGAGAAGGTTATGGAGGCAGCTTTGACATAAATCTAGGATAAATATTATGTAATGTAATTATGCTACGCGGTTAGACTTGAGCTGCTCTGGAGGACCACAAACAGACAACCAAAGCCTTGTTATTTCAGCTTGTGGTGGGTGAGCACTCCCACCAGTCAAAGCAATGCTTTAATATCAGGAAGAACGGGACCCAGTCAGTTTTGGTTCCAGACTTTTAGATCTCGGTCTGGATTCTGGTGATGGTAGGTTGATCCAGGAATTACTCATGTAAAGGAAGCATTAGAGGTCCTTAATAGTATAAATGTGGTCACATACTTTATATATGAAAATAATAGCAGCCTGGCAGCTGATCTTCCGGGTACTCCCCCTTTGCATGTATCATTGTGCGTATCCAAATGTTAAATGATTTTCACCAGAGATGAAGAAGAAGATGGAAACAAAGGATGCATGGAGGTTTCTAAATCTAATTGTTCCACAGAGTTCTTGTAGATTGTTAGGATCATTTATTTGTTAGGATGTTTTGATAATCTCTTATTATTATCATAATCTCTTATTATTATCTTAAGGCATAATCAACATAACTTATAAACAATTGCAGCATGAGAAAATGAATTAGAAACAGGACTTGGTGGTTTGTGTATATTTCTCTGTCACAAGCAGGTATCTGCAGGAGGGAGGAACTGAAGATGCTCCACAGTTGGGTGCTGAGTGGCAAGTTTCTGCACCCACGAGATGGTGGAAGAAGGCCCAAGGACACGGAGGAACCAGTCAGCTATCTGCAACACATTCTGTGCATATCCTCATGTAATAGTATAAGTACACTGGATCAGGGAGAGGCAGTCAATCAGACTTCGTGCCCTGACATCAACTCTGTTGGTGCTAGGGTGAGAAGTTGGATCTGTATGCTTATTCAACTATCTGCTAAATAAATACATTGAGTGAGACCTAAATATCTTCTCCTACTGCTTCATTAAACGAATGCGCAGGAGCTATCTCACACATAGTTTGATTTCTGGTAGATTGGGATCAGCTTCGACAGTACAAAAAGCAAAAGCACAAACCAAACGCAGACGAAGGAAGCAGGAAGCAGAACACAAATGTAGTGAACAGGCAGGTGATCTAGCAGGTTACAGACAGAAGATAAAACAGGACAAAGTGGCAGAGAACAAAGGAAGACGCAGGATTATTATCACAGAGATAACTCATGTGGAGAGGAGACACAGGTGACTCACAAGATGCAGGTGAACCAGATTAGTCAAAAAGAGGAAGTAAAAGAGCAAGCAACACATCAGGAAAGGTGAAGATGGCTGTGAAACCTGCACACAGCCAGACACACAAAGAGGCAGAAACAAGAAACACGAGAATGAATCAAAGAAAAAAAATAAATTAGAAACCATAAACCAGGACAGACAGCAGAAGAGGAAGATGAGAAGTCAGGATGAGAGTAAATGAAACTGTCTCTGGAAGCCAAGAGGAGGTTTGTGCTCAGAATAATTCTTGATCCTGTGAACGCAGCTCAGTCTGAAACTCAGTCCAACCAGTCACACTGCTGATGAAGGTGTGGCAACAACCTGAACACACTGATGAAGCAGCATCGCCTCACTTTGTCTGATAGAAGTTTGACTTACAGTGAAGCACAAAGCTGCTTTTCCACACAGGCCTGCTGTGGACAGAAGAGAGCTGACACTGATGAAGTTCTGAAAGCTTGGTAAGTGGACCTGTGATCGTTTCCTCCAGCTCCAGACAAGCAGTGATGTGTTTGGCTGTTTTGTTGAAGTGCTGGTGAATGTGTGATAGTTGGATGTGTTTGCTGCTTTCACACAGAAACAGGAGAACCTCCCTGTGAGTGTTTAATGAATGGATGATGATTCGTATGTTCATGTGGAAGCAATGTTTCTCTGTTCTATGTGGTGGAGCTCATGTGAACTGCTGTGGGGTTTAGAACAAACATTTGGTCAGAAAACAGTGAGTTTTGTACATTTTGGGATCAGAAACTGCAGCGTCACACAAACGAAGCGACGTGAAGAATATCAGTTAGTTAGTTAGTTA